CTTCCAGGTTCCGCAGAAATGCCCGAACGGTGGTCGCGTTGTTGGCCTGCATTGCAGCAGCGACGCATCGTGTATACCACTGGCTGGCGGATGTGCAGCGACCTGCATCAGTGGACTGTGCTGTACTATCCCAGGATTCCGTGCGTACCATGGGGCGAGAAGAAAATCATGCAAAGTTTCATTCATATTACAAGCTGTGTAGAAAATGTAACTGTAAAATTCTGTGAACACCTGTACGACGAGAACAAAGATAGAGCGCCTCCACTATCTCTCTTTCAGCTTTCATTCGTAATCTTATCTAGGGCACTGATAAATATAGTATTAGCGAAGTTTTATTTTTTTATTACTGGTAATTTTTTGTAGTGTTCCACCTCACAGTTTTACTACATACTGTGAATTAGCACCTTTGATTGAGAGGCGTCAAAGTGTACTGAATAATGAGAATAAATGAATCAGAATGTGCTTAGTTTACTTAAAAAATTCATCAAAAAATTTCATGTATGGAAACGAGTGTTTTTATTTTTGTGTATTTTTAACTGCGTCATGTACAGTCTTATTTCTGCATTCATATGCACGAAACCGTATATGATTAAATCAACCTCAGAACTACAGCGACTAAAGGCTCCTAAATCAACTTCAAAGCCCTAGAGTCATTTCATGCAATCACTGGCTGGAACCCCAAAATTTTTTGCATCTGTTAGTCAAAATCCCAAGATTTTGGTTCTCTGCGCTTCACTTCTTGAAACCACGAAAGTTGGATTTAAGCCTATGATCACCGGTCAAAGCACAGCAGAATTCGAATTCGACTTTCCAGTTATTTTTTCCCCGAATTACTTTGCTCACGAAAACTTCCACTTCTATTTTTAAGCGTTTTTTGCAGCTATGCAATGCAAAAAGCGCATACTGACGAGAGGTTGTCTGTCTGTGTGTGTGTGTGCATGTCTGTGTGTGTGTGTGTGTGTGTGTCTGTGCGTGCGCTGGGCCACTGTACCGATTTTTCATCCCAAGATCTACAAAAGCTACGAGGCTGAAACATCAGGAACTTAATCTACACGCATGTGCAAGCTCCCACCCTAAAATGTGCGGTCTTACCCGCGTGGTACCCACGTACGGGCCTTTGAAAGTTTTTTGCGGGCATGTCGCTAACTCGGGAACCAGAAAAGTTAGAAAGCTGAAATTTTAAGGGGATATTCCCCGTCCACGTAAGTCTCAATGAGCTCAAACCCCAATGCCGGGTATGTGTGGTACCCGCGCACGGGCTCGTGAAAATTTTTTTCGGGTAAGCTGCTAACTTGGGAACTTGAGAAGCTAGAAAGCTGTAATTTTAAGGGGAGGGGGAAGGGTTCCTGACTGTACTGGCGGCCAGTTTTAATTTATCTAGCTAGAAGTATTTGTCGAAAAAACCGGTGCCGGTAGCGACAAAAACTGCGGGGAACTGTGCCGAATCACTGGCGACGCGCAACAGGCGAGCCCGTGCGACCACGCGTTTTTGGAGTATTTCGTGCTGCAGTGAAATCACTCGGAAACCTAGCAGCTAGGATTTATGACACACAGATCCTCGAAGTTCAGGAAGTTAACTGCCCACGCGGTACTTGGACAGGAAACATTCCGCAAAAATTTCAGCTTTCCAACTTCTTCGGTTCCTGAGTTAGCCATTCTCCAGCCAAAAAATTTCATGGGTCAGTACGTGATAATCATTTATGCCTGGGGTTAAAAAAAAAATTCGATGATAAGTTGTACTTGTGCTGGGACATTCTCTGGAAATTTCAGCCTCTTACCTTTTCTGGCTCCCGAGTTAGCCATTTTCACGCCAGGAACCTTAAGGGGGCCGTAGACGGAAGCCACCCACACCTGGTGGCTGAATTTGAAGTCTTTGAGTTTTATATGGACGGGGAGCATAACCTCAGAATTTTAGCTTTCTAGCTTTTCTGGTTCCTGAGTAAACGATTTTCTCACCAGAACTTTCACCCTCTCGTATGCGGAGCCAAGACGTGCTTAAGGGTCGGTACCGCGGTCCTGAGGTGGCACTTGGTATGGGGACCCACTGGCAAAATTTTAGCACCGGAGCTTGCTTGGGTGTCGAGTTGAAATACCCGGACAGAAGCACGCACGCACATACACACGCACGCACACACACATACACGCACATACATGCACACACCGGGGCGTCACAATGTGCGTTTTTGCATTTGCATATATACAACCCAGGCTGAAACGCACCAGGCTCACAGGTGCGATCATGCGTTTTTGCACTAAACTGGCTGATCGCTATTAGCAGGAATAATCCCTACGCTGTAGCCTTAAACTTGGGCTCATATCGGCCGTGCTTTGGCCCCTTCCAGCATGCAGGAGGAAGGGCGTCAGTTGGGATGAAGATGGTGCATTATAGAGCCGCACGGGCATCCAGGTGCATGAATACCGGTTTTTGCATAAAGTCCAGCCTTTTTTTCGGAAAATGCTTGCTTTGTGAAAAAATGGCAAATGCAAATTTTTTGAAAAAATGCAAATTTCCAAATCATGAAAAATTGGAAATATTGCTCGAACGGTCGTTTTTCAAAAAATCCATGTTCGTTTGCATATACGATTGCGGTTCAGGCACTAGCTGCGACGATTTTTTTGAAAAAATGCAAATTTTCAGGTCATTAAAAACTGAAATTATTGCTCGGACGGTCGTTTTTCAAAAAAACCATGTTCATTTGCATATACAATTGCGGTTCAGGCCCGAGTTGCTAACCATTTTTGGGTTTAGGAGCTGCTTGAGACTGTGGTTGGGGAGCTAGAGAGCTGAGTTTAAAATTTTTATCTCGCACGTG